ATGATTGGTGACCTTTTCTTAGATACATGGAATTAACACAAAAAATAACATTGTGTATATAAAATGTAGTTGTCAAATATTTAATTAACCAGAAATAGAGAAGATATTTATTGGCACTAGTAAAGATGCGAAAATAACATATTTGTAGATACATTCACCATTCAGAGAGTTAGAAACCCCACTTTTAAAATGTTTTGGTTTTTTCTCCTTTTTTCTTTCTCTGTATTTTTCCTTCTTTACTATGTTTCTTCTTTTCTATGTATATATTGTTCTATGTCATACTTTTGTGTATGTATTGTTATATGTCACTGGTGTTTTGTATGTATCACACAATGTCTTATATGTATTCATTTGCTATTTTTAATTAATAATGTTTAAAAAAAAATTTAAATTTTTTAAAAAAGAAACAACAGTGGATGGATTCACATATAAGTCTAATAAGCTTTGTTTGCTTCTGGCTTATCATGTTGTGTGAAGTCAGCTAATCATGGCAATGTTCATGCGTACAAAATTATACTGGCAATCTAAGAAACAAGAAGCTTGCACTCTTGCACAGTTCTATATTTCAACCCTGTATCATCTTAATATACAGTTCAATCCAAATGATATTTTCTTAGAAGTTTGATTGTGAACAATATACTTCTTCATATAACAAAGTTTAGGACTGCAAAAATCATTATAGTCCTAACTGTACAAACAAAACAAGTGGACAAAACAGTCCAAACAAAACACAGTGACGATCTCTAAGTTTTCTAAGGCATCAGGACATCCAAACATAAAAAACAGCCATTTGGAGCATTATCTTTTATTAAGATGTCAAGCTCTGAAAAACCATTTTCTGTATATCAGGGTTAAATATTTAAAAATATATCAAAATTATAGTATTAAAAAGTTGATACCTGTTCCAAAATGAATGTTATGGTTTCAAGTACAAGGTGAAGGTCTTGTTTTTCTATTGAGAATGCAGCTTGAAGTTTTTCTTCCTCTTCTTCTGTGAAAGTACTCTCAGTCTGAAATTTGTAAAAACTCTCCACTTTAATTTTTAAAAACAGACATTTATTTTACTGATTGCTCCATGCCCCATTCCATAACTGCTGCCCAAGGTAAATGTAAAAACAAGCAGAACAAACTACAATCAAATGCAAACTTAAATACAAAGAATACTTTCAGTGGACCTGAAAGTATAAATAAATTCCCTTAGCTAGGAATGTTACTTTCAAAGTCACTAGGGAAAAAAAAATCTGTTCTCTAAAGTTCATAAAATAAATGGTGCAAAGCAAGGAGAACATAATGCTACACAAAAAAATAATTTCATTTGTGCTGAATCCACTCTTTGTAGATGAAAAAGCCTACCAGCCTATTTATTTACTTTCTATAATATCTAACATCCTTGGCTGAAATATTGTTGGCTATATTCTTTATTTATATAAATCTCCTTTCTGCAGCACTCTGAGCCATCTCTGACCATGATAGCTAAACAATGATGAAATTGTCATTTTGATGTGAAAAACCAATTAAAATTGTAATATAAATACTAAAATAAAAACAAAAACAAAACTCACTGCTGCCACCAAAAAAAAAGCCTTTTCATTTTTTTTCCAAATAATTATTTTATTATATTATAAGATGCAAATAATACATGAAATAAAAATCTTAATGCTTAATACCAAGGTCTTAATGCTTAATACCAATGATCTTAATGCTTAATACCAAGGTCTCCACTGTATTGTTCTTTGTTATTGTTTATAAATGTTAAAAAAGGAAAAGAAAAAAACCTGCTGGAAAAGTAGATAAGTATTTGATTTCTGACTTGCCCCTTCTTTATACTTTGACCGATTTGCAGTATTTATAAACATTCAAACCTCCTTAGAAACCAGGCTGTGTTTCTATTTGCCTTGCTGCATTATATATATGATATAGTATACATGGGAAACCATTCTTGCATGAATTCGGTAAACTTTTGTTGTGAATATATGCTGTTAGTTTTGCCATTGCTGTATATTCTCCAAGTTGAAATTCCCAATCAGATATCATCAGTGTTGTATCTTTCTTCCAGTGTTGGGCAAAAGCCTTTTCCACATATGAAACATTACCCCGCTCACTTTACTATCCTTCTACTCTAGAAATGTTAAATGCAGCTGTTGGGCACCCGAAGAGAAGGAACCCCTTCAGTTTAGTGCTTTCCAGATAGACTAGAGCTATCATTTCTAGTTTTAGAACTGCCATATTATAAACTTAGAAAGCCGTGGGGTGGAGAAATATCTATCTCCTATCTCCCAAAGTATCTGCCCAGCCAATTCAATCTAGCAGGATTGGTGCACTCCATGTACCATTAATTAAAAAATGCCAAATACTGTGACCCCAGAAGCGCACCTTTTCTGTAGCAGCACCTGCCCTCTGGAATGAGGTTCTCCCTGAGAGCCCAACAGCCCCCATCCTGGCCTTGAAGATCTGACTCTTCACCCAGGCCTCTGGCAAGGATGGCTGAAGCCTCCTTTTAACCTAACTTGTTTTCCTTTGTTCCCATCTGGTTTTGTCATCCTGCCATGTTTACCCTTCTTTTTGTATCTTGTTTTTTTTTTCTTGCTTTTAATGTTTTAAGCAATTTATAAACCGCCCAGAGTCACTGGGAGTCAGGCAGAATATAAATTTAATAAATTATTATTTATTATTAAACAGTCTTCCTAATGACTCATAATTACAATTACCAACAAAAGAGATAATTTGATTATATTCTTGAACAAGATCATTTTTATTTTTATCTTATTTTAATGAAGGATAGATCAAAAGAAAGAATGTCAATCCTACACTCAGACAAGAGCTCATGGCTATAATCATCTTAAGACATCATTCCCATATCAGGGCACCCTCCAGATGTATAAACTACTACGCCCAGAATTTCTTGGCCAGCATGGTTATTTTTAGAATTCTGGCAATTGAAGTTCACATATTTGGAAGCTGCCTAGCTTAAGGAAAGTTGGTTAAACAGATTTCAAAATAATATTCAAGGATTTAGTGTCATTTTTTCTTTCCATGCCAACCTTTAAGTGAAGCTTCTGAAGGATGCGGGAGAGAAGGCGAGAGAACCTGCCTGTATCGAGAGTGTTGATCAAGGTCACAGCTTTTCGAACTCTTAAAAAAAGGAATGAAAATTAAAAGACCAAGTCACCTAAAAGTAGATAACAGTAATAATTTATCTCCTTCTCGGCTTTTGCCAAGTTGTCAAATAGCAATTTAATATTAAATGAAGGAGTTGACTGATTTTACAGGCACCCTGCAAACCTCCAACCAACCTCTAGGAAACAGAGATCAAGTGATTCCCACCTCCCAAACTGGTCCTGTGAAGGAAAACAAGGGCAATGGCTTACTTTTATTTTAAAACAAGCCTCATCAGAAGTAAGTCTGATGGAGCTCCACAGGTCCAACTGCTAAGCCAGATGTTTCTCAACCTTAGCAACTTTTAAGAAGTGCGGACTTGAATTCCCAGAATTCCCCAGTTGAAGTCCGCACATCTTAAAAGTTGCTAAGGTTGAGAAACATGGTGCTAAACAAATGTGATGACACAGGCCCGGAAGCTCCTTCTAAGAGTACTAGGAATGATTTTGCTCGGGCGGCCCTCGGCTACTTAGCAGCGAAGAAGACCTTCCTTCCTTGCAGGCTCCGCCGCTGCTGCATTTTCTCTTTGCTCCTTGATCCAAGCATTAACACTGAAAAACAAGCTCCGGAGCCTCCGGTTACAATTTAGCCCACATCACTTATCTACATTATTTTTAAATGGCAGTCCCTATCCAAACACAGCCAGGATGGCATTAGCCCGCAGCACCCTTTACCCAAGAGGAGAAACATCAGAACAGATTTGTTCTTACCTCTCCGTATCCGGAATAACTATGGGCGCCGCCATCTTGGACGCCGTCAATCATACAATCCCTTTCCCTGGAGAGCCAATCAGCGGCCACAGAAAGCTTTGTCCTGGAAAAGCCAATCCCAGCGGCGCGAGTAAGACAAGTTCAGCCTTCCGTCTTCTAATTCTTCGCCGGGTCTTTCTCAACGACGCAGCGCGGGGGAGCGCGAGGAAGGAGGAGGGGGAGGAGCGTAAAATGTGGTGTGTTGCTGCAGCCGGCGGGTAACGCTGAGAGGAATGCGAACGCAAGCGCTGCCGCTTCGGAGCTCTTGGCTATCCAGTCCGTTGGCTGTGCATCATTCTCATAGCTCCTTACATAAGAGATTAGCATTCACCCACTCCCGAGGTACGTTGCTGCTCACCCGCAGAAAACGCAGTCCGTAGAAAACGACACTCTGGCAGGAATGTGCAAAGCAGGACAGATGTGGGCACGACCTGCAGCGATGCTACTGTGCAGATCCCTCGTTTAGGTGCCTGTCTCCAGCTGCTGCTGCAGGTCAGGACTTGGATAGTGGTGCTACTGCACATGCTCAGAAACTGCAAAGCACACTTTGATTCTCGGTTTTTGGCAGAAAACGAGTTTTTTGCTGGTAATTGCCAATTGCTAAAAACAGCAGATTGGCTGCAGCCTGCTGCTGGCCTGTTTTTGTTTTTGTTTTTTTTGCCAAAAAATAATTAAAGTGCTATTTTTCATGTGTGTGCGTGCGCGCACGCGCGCATGCGTGCTGTGAACAGGGCCAACTTCAGGCTAAGGCAGAGTAGGCACTATCCTAGGGGTCCAAAGCTGAGGGGTGCCCGTACCACCCTCCTTCCGAAAACAGGCTATTCTAAAAATGCAGATCTTCACATTGGCGGGAGGTGGTGCCATCAGCCAGTGTGGCCTAGGGGCACCATATAGCTTTGAACCAGCATTGATTGTGAATTGAGTTATATCCACTGACTTCATGGGCCGTAGTCCAGCACCCCTGCTTGCTGGCATGAAATCTGCCATCTCCATTTCTGCCCCCAATCCTGCCTTTATTGATCTGCCAAGCACTTGACTGTTCTCCAAGACAATGAAGAACAAAGAGCTCTCCTTCCTGACTGAGCTGAAGTGCTGTGCTATATCTTTGAGCTGTGCCCTCATAAGATTTTCTTTGTCCCCTCTGATTTCCTTGTGATGCCACAGGCAGATAGGATGCTGTAAATGATGCTGTCCTAATATAAATTTGCAGAGCAGTTAAGGGAATTCTCAATTGTCCAGCTTTGTTTTTCTCTCCCTGCTCCAAGCATCATCAGTTGGCAGGAAATGTCCACTAATCGCTCTCCTTAATGTCAGGAGCTCTTACATGATGGGGAAAAGCAGGTTTAGCCATCTGTCAAACTCATTCTGATTTTGGGCAAGGGCTTTGTGAGGGTGTATTGAAAAGATTTTGGACACAAGGTTACAACTGTTCCAGAATAATGCTAAACCCATACTGAAAAGCAGCTAAGTATCAGCTGGTAATCAGGCTCCCTTTGAACACACCTATGCAAAATACTTGTGCAAAACCAGAGCAAGTTTTGATATTTAGTTGATAGGTTCATTCTGAGTACAGGTTTAATACTATTTCCAAAGACCACTAAGCCTGCGTTCAAAAGCAGCCTGAACACTAGCTAATTGCTGCCAGGAGAGTTGTGCCATGAAGCAGCAGAAAACGTCCCAGTTCTGTCTCCTACTTCACCTTGCTACTGTTGGCCAGCTACTCATCCACATCTCTGAGCTGGGGATCTGCTTGGACTTCATGGATATAAAGAAAACAACTTGCTTAAAAGAAACAGATTATCCCACTGCCCCAAACTGAAAATGGAGGCCAGAAAGGAAGAAGCATGCCTGTACTTACCTAAAGTCAATAAATGTCAGGATGATCCCACACCCTAGCGGTCACCTAAATGCCTCATCAACAGAATAGTTGGTGAAGTACATCAGATTATATCCAGAACGAAACCTATATCAGGTTATGGGAGAAAACACCACTTTAATACTGGTACAGCTAAGAATGACTTAAGGCTGTCTAGGGTATGAGTTGTGGATCAGATGAAGGCAATGTCATGAGGATGTGGCAGAAAAACAAGGCTGCTCTTTGTGCTGCAGTTGAATGCTAGAAAAGAAGGATTTTAACTCTGACTTGATCTTTGAGGCTTCACTTGGATGCTGTCAGAATGAGAGGGGAAACACTGCTTTAACACCAGTGCAACTAAGGATGACTTTATCTTCTTTCACTCATTGGCTTGGGATGAGAGGAAGTCAGTGCCCTAGGGATGCAGCAAAAGATGTTGCCAGGGCATGATTGAGCCATTGTTAAGGGCAAGTAAGGACACAACCTTGGGAATTAGGGTCATTGTCCTCTTTACACATACTTGGGTAGAAGCCCAGTTGAACTCAGTGGAAAGTGCAATTGAGTAAACATGCAAAGAATTACATTATAATTAATAAACAAAATAAAAGAAAATGATATTGCATATATTCTGACAGATCTTCTCAATTATTACTATCATGCAGGACTGACCCAGAATCTTGATCTACCCTCAGTAGAACAAACAGCACCAATACCATCCACTTTCCCAAAAGTTAAAGGATTAGTAGAGAATAGGTTATAAATGCTTAGCTTCTCCCTGGTAGGAAAAATACAGTAATAAATAACCACCAATTTGTTGCCCTTCTCTGACACTCAAGTTCAGTTGTCTAAAGCAGCCAGCTCACTTTACTGTTGAACAGATCTATTTAAAGCATTTTTACTATTTAGCTAAAAAGACACTCCATACGATTCACAAATATTAATA